AAGAGCCAACTCAGAGATTTTCTGGTTGAGCTTCAAGAGAAGAGCGAGAGGCTGTCCGATACCACCGCAAGCACCGAGAAGAGCGACCTTGAATGATGACATAACTATGAAAGGAACAAAAAACTGTTGATTAGGTAATTGAAATGGAACTGGCATAATACGAACTAGCTTCGAGCTTAGCTTCATGATCTTTCGATGGCTAAGATATGTCTAGGGGACAGCAGCATTGCACTATCCGATACTTGGAGTTGGTTATGCGTGAGCATTAAGGCTGGGATGGATGACAGTAGAGTATAATACTGAGTGTTACTAGGAATATCTACTAGTGTAGAACAGCAGTTGATCAAGGTACAGTACACTCTTCTCCGACCGTCGTAGCCCGACGAACCAAATGCTCGCTGTAATGCACAAAAATTCGACGAACAGACGAATCGTCTAAGACGACAGGAGTACAGTAGCAAAATATATTCGCGATGTGGATACCTATTCGAACAGACGATACTACGAAGTCTCACAGGGAACCTGTGACAGGTTTGCCAGAGCTCAGAAGGTCTAAGTGAGACGTGTGATGAAACTGACCACACTGAGAGAAGTGCAGATGCCAACAGGGCTCAGTGATTGAAGCTAATCTATAAATCACATATGTCTGATGGCAGCGAAGCGAATGACACACAGCAAGTATTGTCATGTAACATCGGAGACTTTAGCTTGAGGGCGACGATATCGTTATTGTGGTGCTATAAAATTACGAGTCCCATTCCGTTATCGGTTTTGGTGGCCCACTTAGTGTGGTGAGACTATTTGTTCAGACAGGCGGCTCAGTTACAAAATAGCAAAGGAGCAAATAGCAAAAAAGTGCTAATTAGCTGGAATGTAGATTCCCTGCGGCTTTTGCTGTTGTGCTAGTGTGTAAAAACGCTATGGCTGATATACAGAAGAGCAAAGTAGCAAAATTCACTTTACAAACACGCAAATTTGCCATTTTGTATAACAGAAACTGCTCGAATGAATATCGTTTGCTTGTTTATATTTCAGAAAACTGCTAGAATATATAAAAGTTGCCGCTATGTGAAGTGCTACTATGTAACAAAATTGAGCAATTTTGCTCAAAGAAGGGGCAAACCAATAAATTGCTCCTTCTACTATTGAGCAAATTGCTACTTTTCAGAGGAGCAATTTGCCGCTTTACGAATGGGCAACCCCGCAATGCTCTACAATCGGAAGAAGAAACTGAAATTTCGCACGCGAGATTCGAACCTTGGTGGGTTGTTAGTGTTTGTGTTGATCATTGCAATGCAATGATTGCATTATAGTTTGGTCACT